TTTTTTTTGTGATGGGCATCATTTCTTAATTAGATTAATATATACACTCGGCCGTGGTCCCTCCCTCATTTAGAAGTCACTCTGTAAAAAATGCAACTATCAAATCCAATAAATTTATTTTATTTCATTTTATTTTTTATATTTTAATAATCTTGCTCAAATTCACATGGTTATTGGTTTCGTCAAATACAGCGCCCAAGCAAATGACAGGAAAACTTTATTTTGAGCAATTCATTAATAGTAGAAAGTCACGAGCTTCTTAGAATGGTCTAAAAGCTCTTAACATACTCGTTGATAATTCCCTGCCTCAGAACCTCATGTATCTATATTTGTATCATTTTTCCCCCTTCTTATTTTGAACTGGAGGCAAAGTTAGATAAATAACTCAATCCGTAAGGCTATACCACTGCTAAAAGTTTTAGGTAGAATCCTGATGTACCTTGCATTGATGGCAGGTTGCAGAGCATTCTTGACTACAGTGTTAGCGTCATTGTTTCCCATCAAGATCTTGCCTGATAATCTTCAAAGGAGGAACTGTTCAAGCCATATTGTAGGCTGTAGGTCTTCGTCCAGTCACCAAATCGGGTTCCTTGAGTTGCAATACATGAAACCATGGTAACCTTGCCCAAATCCACTTGAAGCCACGGGTTGCTATCATGAACTTTGGGACTCCATTGTTTATTTCCATGAAGTCTTGCATGATGTGGTAGGTCATCCAAACTCAAGTGGCTAGAAGCATTGATGTTTGAATCAGGAATGACACCACTTTCCATTCCAAGGGCATTACCGTCGTTGCATGTTTCTGGAAAAAGTTTAACACGCTTTTAGGTCCCAGATATGAAGGTCACGTTGCACGAAGTAATGCTCACTTCAAAAGGACAAGTCCAATGCAAGGTCTACATAATGGTATGTCCGTTGGTACGTCTGTTGCTATGTGGATGGCAAGTCGGATGGCAAGTCTGATGGCAAGTGTGATAGTACTTCTTTTGGTACGTCTGTTGCAATGTGATGGCAAGTCTGATGGCAAGTCTGATGGCAAGTCTGATAGTACTTCTGTTGGTACGTCTGTTGCTATGTGGATGGCAAGTCTGATGGCAAGTTGATGGCAAGTGTGATAGTACTTCTGTTGGTACGTCTGTTGCTATGTCTGATGGCAAGTCTGATGGTAAGTCTAATGGAAGGTCTGAAGGTACGTCTGATGGTGCGCCGGTCTGTTGGTATGTCTGGTGGCAAGTCTGATGGCACGTGGCACATATTAGACTTGGTGATGGTACTGTGTATCAATTAACAGTCAGGGTTAATCTCATTTATCAAGCGTTAGAAAAAGGCAAAGAAGTCCCGTACGTTATTTTCTAGATATCAGTAAAGCGTTTGACAGAGTCTGGCATAAAGGATCGCGGCCTGCTAAACTAAAATATATAGGTGTTAAGGACTCCTTACGAAGTTGGTCTCGCAGCACTATTTTGTTACGTTTAACAGAAAAAGTAATAGATTCACATTTAGTAACATTCATATTCATCAACCAATTATCACAACACTGACTTACAGTATTTAAATCATTGTTTAGTTTATATTAGGATTTTAAAGGTGCCTCGACTATATCGAACAACGATGTATCGCTTAGCATAAAGGAAACAATTAGACTGAACATTTTCAGAAATATCATTAATAAAGATAAGGAATAACAGAGGCCCGAGTACAGACCCTTGTGGCACCCCATTCTCGCTCAATCCTTAACCAATTAACTGGAATATTGTCCCTCAATAACAACACGTTGTTGTCTATCTGAAGAATAGCATCCTACTCTTTACTTAAATGGTACTCCTCGAAAAGTCGATTCTCATACACATAAATATGCTGATGTAATATGGGTTGGATTTAGTGAGGAGTTAACTGGTGCTATTAAAGAAACCAGAAAAACCAAACTTTTGGACGATCTTTGTTGAGAAGATCTAAAAAACTACAAGGCGTATGCATAAATTAACTTTATTCTACAAAATGGTCAATAATATAACCCCTCCTTATCTTAATAATCTTTTACCTTTAAAAGTAAGCCAGAGATTCGATCTAATGATAATTTCTCATTATTCCCAACTCGTACTAATAGGTTTAATATTGTATAGAACGGTCTGAGCCCAGGTGAATGAATGTTAATCGAAGTATTATGATAATCCGGGTGGATGTAGTCCTGAGAAGGACTGTTAGATATGACTGCGGACGTTTCGACAACCTGAGCGGAAGTCATCTTCAGAGTCAAGTGAAGAATGGAGGTTTGAATAAAATAAACAATTATTTGATATCTGACCTGATTAATTGCCTCAAAACCATTGCAGGTGGTTTTCCAGTTTTAGTTAGTAGATAGTTCTCTAAATTCATCTTTCAAGTATTCTAGAACTCCTGTGTTTTTCAATTCCTTTCTTTTACTCACGTTTTTCGCATAGTTTACCAGTGAATCCTTGAGGGCAGTGGCACAGGAAGTCGTTGCTCACCGTCTCGCACGCACCATTATTTTTGCATCTCGGGATGGCACATTTATCCTTCCAAAATTAAAGATTAAGAAGTGTAAAAATCAAAATGACCAACGACAAAAGAAAAGAAAAGAAAAGAAAGAAAACGTGAAAAAGAAAATAGTTGAAGCAAGGCAACAGTACTTACAACAAAACGAGTATAGTGATGGTACTCTTGTGTAGGAACAAGATACTCCGTTGATTCCCTAGTACCATTTTTTAGCAGCACGCATTCATACAAGCCATTTTTCATGAGCAAGACAGCGATGTTGAACGACAGGCATTCTGGGACTCGCTCACATCGCATACAACACTGAAGAACACTTCTGACAGAGATAGTTTGAAGTGAGTTACCTTCCAGCTTATGAAAGGCAACCTGGGTGAAATATGCTCCATCGAGTTCTTCGCTGCCAATAAGAGAAGAACGGATAAAGAAGTACAGCACAATACTGAACAGAAATATCTGACCCTGTCGAGCCATTCTACTATGGAACTGAAACTAAACTTGAAATCTTGAGCTCTAATTTTTTTTAAAAAAACCTCGAAGAGCAGATCATTGAGTTTGCAATGCCAAGAGGGAATGTGTGTTTTTTTTCATCAAAAAATATAAGTTATCGATATCTTAACACAGGATGTCGTTAACCAGTTAACAGGACGGTAAACATCATTACTCTTAATACTGCGCAACATTATTGCAAGTTTCCTTTTAATGACTTTCTCAGCTCCTGTACCACAGACTGGGAATAACATTGTCTGCACATGTACAATAGACGATTTTGCGAAAAGTGCCATCCTAAGTCACTTTAATTTTGAGATTTCATAATTTGGGTTATTTTGAGTTATTCATTACCTGTTATAATTCCAACACAGTTTCCTTAAACAAAACGACTTTATTAGGTAACAGTTACAACAACAACGAGAAATAGTTCGCGTTAATTAGACATGTTCAGTTCGTGTACTAAGTACTCAGTTTATGGCTTTATTCCGTAAAGTAACAATAACTAGATCTAAATAGTTTGTGTTTTTCTCATCAAATTCAATATTTATTTAAATATGCATTATGAGTGACCACTTAATTTTCACTTCATTGATCTTATCGCGTCACTTTAATTCTGCGATTTTTTTGAAAATCGCGAAATTAAAGTGTCGTGAAAATTTCATGTAATAAGGTATTTTGATTAGCATTTCCCATAATTCTGTCACGAGAACTTACGAAATATGAATTCMCTTTTTAAATTAATCGCTAACTCTAGTCCAACTCATGGCGGAATTCAATTTCTATCGACACTATATTGACACAGGCCCTGCCAGGGAAGTGTTAACCCAAAATAGTTAACGCATTATTCCTTTAAGAGAATGCGGTCAATTCAGCTGCTGACATGCAGCTGTTTTGACCTCATCCTTAAATGATTATCACGCTTTTTTCGGATGTTTCAAATATATATCTGGATTTTGGTTAACTATGGCCCAAGGTCTTCCAAGGGAATACTTCAGTTACTTTTGAGTTTTATTAATACTGACATAATACCACATATATTTTTTCTATATGTACATCATTTATTGCTTTTAAATATTCGTTATATAATACAATTTTGTACAAAATATGTTATTACAAGCTATACTCTTTTCGCTTTCAAACCCAAATTCGATTAACTTCGATAAAAGGTTTTCCATTTAAACCATAATTTTTAAAAAAAACATCAAATTTGTAAAATTTGAAATATTTTGAATTTTTTCATAAAATTTTAAAAATCTAATTCTCATATGATTTCATGGTTTGGACTAAGCTGTTGGATTTATACTGCGAACTATTGGAACCTAGAAATTATAAAGTAATTTGAAATATATAGTAACTCATAGTTATTTCAAAATGAAAAATATATGGCCTAAAATTCATCTTTTATGTTTTAACATTTCCAAATGATTTTATTCTTAATTGATTAGAAAATAATAAATTAGATAATAAATAAATAAATAAATAAAAATGAATAAAATGAAAGACATTTTTTTGAAATTCCGTAACAAAGTTCGTGGTTTGAAATGTGTTTTATTTAATTTGTATAGAATATAATAGCACAGAAGTGCAGCACTAATCAGCTTATTTATTACATATCTATGAATTCAGCATATTTCTGGTATATATTCTTGGCTACAGCAACACTGTCCCCCACAGGTTTGTCTGGATAACTTTCACTTCCATATGTCCATAGAGTCTCTTGGACCAGTAACTGTTTACTAAACGCATCATAATCAATAGTCTTGCCTTGGGAGACAGCTTCATAGAGTTCTTCAATGAAAAGTATCCATCGAGGCCGATAATATGAACCTACCAAACCATTCCACATCTTATTAGCATAGTCTTCAATCTCCCCAGTAGGACCCCAGAGGGTTACTTGATTACGTGCATTGTATTCGTGAAGTCGAACCTCATCTGGAGTAGTGGCCAAATCCTTTGCTGCATTCAGCCAGCGTCCCAACAAGAAATGCTCATTGGTCAAGAGGAGTGTGTCCAAGTCTCCTAACAGCTCTATTAGCTTGGAGCCATTATGGATGAGTTCTGATGCTTGCTTGGTTTTGTAGGCATTGATTATTCTATTGTAGACCTTAGTGGCTATCAAGTGGAGAGCTTCTCGAGTAACATCCACCAAATCATATCTGTATTAGCATGTAAAAAGGTATGTAAACGCATAGTAAATGATTTTATAGGTTCATCTAAGGATTCATGCAGTGATTCTAGGCTTCCATCTTTGCTTCTAGTTTTAACATCGAAGAAAAGGGAATAAAACGTGGCAAAAAGGGAACATAAATCAGGGAGAATTCACATACACAAAAAAAATCATCAATCATTTGCCCGACTAAGTCTCTGATAATTTATAAACCAAATGAGTTACATTGCAGCTGCTCAAGTGCACTACAGCTTAATGTTTGGGAAGTGCAATATATACAAAGCTGAGAATCACGACTCCCTGCATCTGGAATTAAATTATTTGCAATGTCAGATCATTAGAACTGCGATTGGATAAACCAAAATTCACTCCCAGGTGTCTGCAATGATGGAGTTCCTGATTCAATTAGAAAAAGGTGTACAACGTACCTGAATGTCTCCACGTTCGAGAACTCATCAGCTACAGACAACAGGTTGTACAATGCAGCATAAACATCCTCAGGATTAAACCAGATATGTGGAGCAATGTTAAATGATGGCTTCATGACGATGACTGAATTACAGTGATGTTCACATACATCACTACAGTTGTAGACACTCCTTATTAATAGTTTCCATGCTTCAGCAATCTGCTCATTGATGCCTCCATATCTTCTTTCAGCATATGATATCACCCAGTCCTGCAGCTCTGTTGGAGTAAAACCAACACTTCTCCAGCCCATCTCGTTCATTAAATCATACATCATGTCATTCTGGAATATTCCTTCTGGAGTTAAGCCTGTGCCAAGCATGGTGTTGTGTGAATTGTGAGAAGCTTTGACTGGGTCTGGGGAAAAGAGGAAAAGAATATTGGTCAAAGACTATTGAGTTCGTACATTCATGTCATTTACAGACTTATCGTTTGACCCTGTGTACGTGTAAGTTTAGCCAGGAGTAACTAACCGTCCTTGTTTTTATGAGGGAAGTACATTTAAAGTAGCTACTGTCACCTCTCATTCCACGATCGAATTGGAATTTATAGGAGTTCTTGTATGCAAAATATACTTATTTCAATAAAGCCAGCCTTCCAACTTTGCTGGGTTGAAAAAGTCTTTATGTAACATAACATCCCAACGCCATATGCTTAAAAGTTTTTCACTGCTTGCAAAAAAAAACTCATGCATGACAAAATAGTCAACTGTCCTACGGCCATCACAAGTGAGTTGGTGACAGTATGCCTATATTGTACTTAACATAAATTAAACTATGCAGGTTGGCAGTAAAACTATAGGTCTAGGTTCTCAACAACTCTCATTATTATTATCTCACTATCTCTGTACTTTATAATCATGAAGACATTCAGTTTACTTACTGGTCGCAACACTTTCTATAGCACCATATAGACCCTGGTTTCCTCCAAAGTTATGCAACATGCACCAGATGAATGGCTGGCCATACAAAGCAGAAATGTTCTGCCAAATAGGATTTATCTCGGCAAACAGATCCAAGATAATCATTTTTCCTATGGGGATACCTGTGTGTGATAACAACAGTATTCTTGGCATTAAAATTATGCATATGTGAGTGAAATTAAAGAATATAGTATTGTCCCTTCATTCGAAGTGACATTAGTTAGTGGTGTAAAAGCTAGGAGAAGCATTTTCAATTCAATTCCTATTTTTTGAAAAGTTGAATGAAACTTCGAATGCCACTATTTCCATCTATCGAATAACAAAAAGAAAGATAGAAAGTAAGAAAGAAAATTGTAGCACATACCATCAAGTAATCCCTTGATCTGTGGTGCCTTCCAAAACTTTGAATCAAACTGGAATAACCATCCTTGCATGAGCCAGATAGCTTGGGGATCTCCTGCAGTCATCCCTTCATAGACACCTTTGCTTGCGGCACTCAAGTACGAGGGGTCACTAGATTTTGGTGTCATTTCATTGAAGGTGTCGGCATTGTAGATGTGGTTGGTTCCATATTCTAAGATTTGTTCCTTGATGAAAGATTCTCCAATTTCCTGGAAAATTGAATCAGAGAAAATTCAATTTAAATTCATTCGTAGTCTTTGAAATCTGGTTGTCAGTAAGATGACGGTTAGGTGACGGCAAGGTGTCGGCAAGTGGTCGTTAACTTAAAGGTAAGGTGTCGGTAAGTGTTCAGCCAACCACTTATACCGAGACACCTTACCGTACGGTGCGGATTGATCAAAATAGCCCAAGTAACCTACTGACCAGGCTTCTACACTGAGTTGTCTCTGGGGCGGTGATCACACTATATCGTAATTCATTTTTACTTTATATGTTCTTCAAGTTTTCCAATCAGACAGACAGACAGAAACAAAGAAATGACAACAAAAAAATAGCCTACCTTGAACAGAGGATCAGTGGTGTCCAGCAGAGCAGTACAACAGTATGTATCATCAAAATCGTTCCATCGTCCAAGTTTGGATACATTTGCCTTTGGATATAGCGTTGTTATAGCATCTGGAACATGGCCTGCAAATGCTGGGAAAACTGGAGTCATACCAAGATTTCTCATGGCTGTCAGAATCTTGTGCTGCAACTCTAGCTGTGTTTTGTGCCATGTTGACGGTAATGGGCCACCCCATCCCTTCATGTTTCCCATTCTAGCCCTAATGAATTTATCAAATAAATAATAATGTATTAAATAAAATAATTAAATGAATTAATATCTCAAGCTATCAGAAAGGAATGAACGCTTGTAAAAGTCTAGTACATAGCATTGTTGTTTTATTTATTTTATTATTATTTTTTCAATCATTATATGTTCAAAATAAAGCTGCATGAAATAATCTTACCAAGCCAAGAATGCAGGACCCCCAAAATGAGAGTCAAGGTCTTCTTGCTTCAGCCCCATCTTTAAGAATACTCTTTGCCAGATAGCTTCTTGTCCATTAAAAGCTAACGGTAGATTGATGCCGTTTAGAGCCATCCAGTCTATCTGTCTCTGCCACCTCGTCCAATTCATCCAAGCAAATGAGTAACTTGAGGTACAAACATTCTGATAGTAGCGAAATCTACAAGAAAATGTAAAATTGATTTATTAATTAGTAATTGAAAGTGATTGACTTTTTTTCTTTCAGAGCGGAGGCATAACAGCCTTTATCACCCATGATCTTTTCTACCAGAGCTACTGTGTGTTCTTCATAGCAACTTAGACCCTAACTTTATTTTCTAAAGAGTTTGTCTGTCCATCGATCCCCCTACCCCACACCTTTCCCGCAGAGGGTGGATACAGGGATGGTGAATGGGTGATAAGTCAGCCCCCCCTTAATCCCAGACAGGATAAAAATAAACAATCATACAATTTATAAAAACATGGTTTACAAACCTGTATGGAACACGTACGGTGACCAATGATGACACCGTTGGGAATGGTTTGGGAATGTTCAACTGGTCGCCACTCCACGAAACGTGTGCTTTACAATAATATTTCAAGAAGTGGTTGACAGCGAGAGAACACGCCACTCCAGTTGTACCTGTGATGAACAGCTTCGAGCCATTAGTCTGATATTCAAACATGTCCATGTTGGGATTTCCACTGAGTTTTGGATCAACTGTAATATGGAAAAAAGAAGTGTATTCTGGAAGGAGTCTTGAGATCAGATCTCTGACGGCTTGTTCTTGTACACTTGTGCTCGCATGACTCTTAATATGAGCATAATCGTTCAATCGATCCTCAATCACCCTTGAATATAAAAAAATACAGCAATAGTAAGACAATTGGTGCTAATTAACTGAACAAAAGAAAGTGTGCAAGGGAGCCTGGTCCTATTTAATATTTTTTTAGATATCCAAGCTTTCGGGCCACTGGGCCGTCAGCCTTGAATGAAATTACAAATCTAGGTCAGTTATAGCGAAAGAAAACAATACGTTCATATGTGCTTATTTTCTTGGCTTTACATGTAAATTCATTCGTATTTGTTTATAAGATAGGATGCTTGGTGATTTTAATTTGTAAAAATAAAATAATTTAAGAAAATCAAAAATTAAATTGACGTTTTTATTTTTTTATGTTATTCTTATTATGTACTGAACTGTATGTACATGGAAATAAACTTCCGGTATTAAGAAAGCCTGAAACAGGTTTTAAAATCGAGAAGTCTCGTTCCTTCTACCTTGCCTGATCAATACGAGTCACGCCACATCTTATATGTAATTTAGCGGTCCACATACTCTCATCTTTGCATCATAATTACCGCGACCTAACATCTATTTCACCCCGGCCTGCTCTCAGTCTGACCTCTAGCTCAGCTGGTAGAGCATCGGTAGTACAGTTCCGAAGGTCGTGGGTTCGAATCCCAGCCCGGAATAACCTCGTTCCCAAGCACTACAACTTACCTATATTATCTTCTACTATTTCATTAGTGCCACGCGGTCCACATACTCTCATAATTTATTAAGCTTATGCAAAAATAAACTCGTATATGATCTCGTATATAAATCCCATGCTCTAAATTCATTTTTTAAAGATAAGATGGAGTTTTTTTATTCCTAAAAAGAAAATAATTAAAAACAAAACAAAACAAAACAAAACAAACAGGTTAATCCGGTAAGTGACGTCGTTTCTTTTCGGCCTTGACCGGTCAAGTCACGCCATGCCACATCTTATAAGAAATTACTTATACTTATAACAATATACGATCCATAAATTTGGTGTGGCCTGTTAGAGCAAAATATTGGGCAAGTCTTTAAAAAATAACACTCCTTTGATGTTTTCTAATGGAAAGATTTATCGCTTGAAAGCAATTTTCGGGTTTATTTTTGTACGAGGAAATATTTTGACGAAAGACTAGCGAACTATGTCGACAATGAAGTACTTCTTGAACCACTTCTAATAAAACATATGAATGAAAAACTTAAGAAAAATGTTAGAATTAAAAAAATTTGCATCTAGTAATAATTAAACTATGCTAGTTGGTATTTTGATATTCTGGTGGCAAGAGTCGGCATATAGATTTGGGATCTGCTCTCATATTCTATGAATACAGTATGAAACAACCTACCTTTGCGTCATTTTTGAGGATGTTTTTGTTCTCTTTATCTGAATTCTTTTCGTTTTCGCTTCTTTTCTTGATTTAATTTTGGAACTTTTGCCTTACGATATACTTCGCAAAAAAAGACTTATTCCGTGTGAGCGTGACTTTTATTTGTTAAACGCAGGGAAACACGGTCACCGGTCACCAGAGAGTCACGAGATCCAATTGACGACATCGATTGAACCAATCACACCGCTTGAAATTACATACAACCAATCAACACGTTGGGTCACGGAACTCGTACGGTCAGAAGGGCACGTTTATGCCGCAAGAAGGTCGTAACAAAAACAATAACATACGTATTTGTGGGGGAGGCTATGCGTATTTCTGACGTTCGTGTTTCGAATGACCTTTGAAAATGCTCCGTACGCTGTATAAAGTAGGAAATGGCCAGGACAGTCCCTCGTCAACGCCTCCTTGAATTTCCGGATTTTATTGTTCGAGCGACCCACGAATTTGTAATTTTTCCGCTTTACAATATCCTTGATTTGTTTTAAGATTTCAGTCTCCGACTGTCAACAATTATTTGTTTTTATATTTCTTTTTTTTTTCCTTCTTATCAGTGGATTTATAATACATAGTTACATGTACTATATTTTGAAAAAAATACGTCAAAATTTCAGAAATATTCTGAAGCTAAACAAAAAACAATCGGAATATTCATTTCAATGAGTATATAGATGTTCTAAAAATAGCCCATGAGTGTGACGTCATCAAATTCTGACTCCTTCAGTTTCAAAATGTTGATATTTGAGGAAGACACAGCATCGCCTACATTTCCTCCATCTGGTTTAGTTGTTGTGAGCTGAGGAAATAGATATTCTAATTCTATATTTTCTCTTATTTTGCAATGCAATTTATGATATTAGATTTAGTTTAAAATATATGATATTTGGACATTTGATTGTCTATATCTCAACTGTTTTTGTTTTGCTATTATTATTATTATTATTATTATTATTATTATTATTATTATTATTATTATTTTGTTCTATCGCTCTGAAAATCCACGCTTTTCATATAAAATATTTTCAAATGGTACCTACCCTACCCCCCTCAGTAGTCGAAAGGGGCGGTTACCAAGTCTTGTGTTGACTTGGAAAAGAAAGGAAAAAAAGTCGAATTGAAAAAATTGAAGTTTTTCTGTAAAGAGGGAGATGTCGTCTCGAGTTTTAAGGAAATTACAGGGAGATGAACAGCTTGATATTCAACTTGACGATGAGGATGAAGATGAGATCAACCTTGTGCAATCGCAAAGAAAAAAGAAGAAAAACAAGGGGGTGATTAATCCATTTGATTTGGTAGGCTATACTGATATGCACTAACTATATCTAACTAAGCTTAAGCTTATATAACAGGCCAATAAAATATAATAGGACATATAACTATAATTTACATTCATTACTCATAAGTTATAAATGGGGCTTTATTGGCTAGTATTTTTCTGTCCTTTATATTCCTTTGAAAGTTTTTTTACCTAAATAATGTGGTTTAAGATTTTTCATCTGCTATAAGCTTACATATGAGAAGCCACTTTAATATCAAGGTTAATGTACTGTACCATGTGCGCCCTGTATGGAAGTACTAATCGTTTCTCATTACGATAAAATAGGTTTTGATGCTTGTCCATCAAAGCATTTCCATGACAGTAAAATGTCCTGTACTTGCATCACAAAATGTCATGATTAATATAATGTTCACCAAAATCTTGCTTGTCATAAAAATTAATATTAAAGTTCTGTACATTTTGTGACGATCGAGTGTGATGTAAAATTATTAAATTATAACTGGTGTTGTTATTACTTCTACTGGTATAGGGAAGCATGTGGAGTGTGCTGCTTATGCACCATGTGGCCTCTCATCAATGCAACCTGGGTTAGAGTCATGTGCCCAGTTGTACGAAGGGTGGATAGCAGTATCTCATGGGTCAATCCTTATCCAGTGGATAAATCGATGCTGTTATTCAATAAATTTATCCACCAAATAAGATTTATCTGTCGAATAGCGCTATTCACCATTCGTACAAGCAGGCCATACAGGGCTCAGTATTGTACCATAAAACAACAACAATAATAATAATGTCTTGTTTCCAAGAGTATAACAGATAGCACAGAGGCAATTGTTTCCAATCTGGCTCTCAATTCCTAATCAAATTAGAATTCAATTTGGAAGTTGATTTTTGTAAAGGGATAAATATTGTAGAATATGTTGGAGAAAAACCCTCAAAACACAGGAGCAAACCAACAAATAACTTTACTCACACATGACACCGAAAACAGCAGGAGTCGACCACAGGCCAATTTAGTAAAAGGCGGCAATAAGTAAAATCACTTGACTAATAAGTGTGATAAAAGGGTTAGTAATAATAATATAAAAGTTGTTATACAGCACACTACAAAATCTCAATGTGCTTTAACAGCAAGAAGATAATATAAGTTGAAAAATAAGGGTTATTAGACAACCCTGTCTCCACATCTGGTTAAAATACCTATTTAGTTCAAAAGCTTGGAAGAATTACAAATCAAATTTAAACAAAATTTAATCGTTCGTTTTTGATATGGATCTTATTTTATTTTGTAGTTGAATGAAGGTAACGATGTGTCAAGTGATGAACCTGAAGAAAATGAAGAATCACAAACCACTGAGGAAAAACAAGAACCTGAAGAGAAAGAGAGATTGGAAAATGATACAGTATCTCCTGCGTCAAGCCAGAAGAAGAAGAAAAAGAAGAAACGGAAGGGAAAAGGGAATAAGGGTGAACAAGAACAGAGAAATGCAAACAAGGTGTGTACTCAAATTTTGATGAGCAATACCATATAGATCATAATAGATTGTTTTTGAATTAGTCAAATAACTGCTGTGTTCCTCATTTATGCAGCAATATCCTTATTTCAATCAAAGCATTCACAAAATATTGTACTAATGGTAAAGCAATGAATGCCTACAATAATTGGCTACCTTGTTAGGAGTAACCATATAGCTACCTCTTAATTCTGTTCCTATTAATTTGTTACATTTATTCTTAGCAAAGCTAATGAAATAAAACAATATAATATACAACTTCAATCAATACAAACACCTAGAAATTCAATGCACTTTCATTGAAATGGATGAATAATTCGAAATAATTCCATACACACAGAAATCAAATCTAGCTTTGAGGTAACAGAGAATTAAAAACTGGAGTATTTTACATTTTACTTTGCTCTACCCCTTGCAACCCCACACCACTCCCCCTACCCACTCCCGCCCCACTCTCCCAATGCTCCACTCCAGCGGTATGTCCTTGTATAAATCTAGAGATGCATGAAATGTTTGTGATTCTTATATTCAAGGATGAAGAGGATATTGATGCAACAATCCGTGAAGTCAATGATATGCTCGGAATAACACAAACTCTTACAGTTACAGGTGAGAGATTTTAAGTTAATCATAATAATGTACTTGTATTCCTTTTTGAGATTTTTAGTGAAAATTGAGGTTGCATCGTCGTGTATGGGAAGTCCCACTTGTGTGTTGAGAAACCTATGACGTACTTCGTTATTCTGTACACGACGATAGTAGCAAAATTTAAGGATGACATTCCTTAATCTTACTGGGCTTCCTGTGTTATTTTTTTTTGCCACAGGAATCCCATCCCTTTTAATAATTTCGAAATCATTTGGATGCTAGTGATAACAGTTAGTAACTGTATTATTTACTGAAAGGATTTTACTCTCTTTAAATAAAGGCACCTATATCTATCTAGTGTAGTGGGGTTCCTGTGACTAGTAACACACAGGAAGCCCAATCCTGCTATACTATATAATAAAAACTAAAAACTACATAAATAGACCATTTTCGAGTTCCAAATTACCGCTGCGTTCCTTGATTACAGACTCATTTTCTCAGGGTTAGCCTCATATCAGTGTCTAAATATTCACAAATACCAACGGTAAAGTAAAGAATGCACAACTTCAACAATACAAACACTTTGATATTCCATGGACGTTCAATGGAACAGATGAATATTCTGCACAAATTCAAGGCTAACCCTGGGCAACAGAGAACTTGAAACTGGAGTATATTACAAATAACATAGCCCATCTGGTACATTATACAGATAATGCAGCAACGACAGAGTCAACATCTTCAGTGCTGGACACCAAGGGTCTATTAGGAGTCGAAAATAGGTAAAACATTGACTAATCATGTGGTTCAAGGTAGCATGTCAGGTCAGTGAGGATAGGATGTGAGTACACTGACTGTAGGGTGTCATAGGGTGTCATGTCAGTAGGGTGTTATTATGTGGTCCAAGGTAGGGTGTCAGTTCAGTGAGGATAGGATGTGAGTACAC